TTTGCGTTTTGGCTAATCTCATCCCTGTATGATATACTTTTTGATACTTCTTAATTATTAAATGGTCAGATAAACACCCTCCCCTATGAAAAAGAACACCCAATGCATACGTTTGTCGATTTCAAAATGCATTTGTTTCAGATTTAAGAATTCCATTCATACTGCTACAGTATCTTAGCAATTTTGTCAATTACTCCTTCTCTCAGTATATCAATTATCTTAGTATTTTATCAAAGGATTTTTTTTAATCAAAATTAGCTTGTTCTAATTACATTTTTGTGAAGCTTTTTAAAATAAAAAAATGTTACTACACTCAATTGAAATAGTGGTTACTTTTTTTTATTTTTTATAAAGTATTATATTTAGTCATTTTGATTTAAAAAAAAAAAATTTTTTTTTTCATTTTTATGTTTATATTTAATACACATTTAATTCTTTTTTAGATATCTATATTTTACAAGACATGAATATGTTACTGTCTATGAAACTGTTGTTAATGGTAAGTGTTTCCTATTATTTAGTCATAGCAAATCTATCATGTTGCCATTAAAGAATCATTTTAAAAGCTTTTTCTATAGTTTTTTATTGAAACTGGATTCACTTGATAGTATAACTAGACTCAATTAAGTTACAACCCTAATTTGCATTTCAGTTCCCTTCGGGGGGGGGGGAGGTTTTCACAGTTGCCACTCCGCGGGAGGAACAGGAAAAACCTGGAACGTACAGGGAATTTTGATTTTTTCTTTACAAACTGGGAAAATACAGAGAATTATGTTTCTTATTTTCGTCTTTTTAAAAAATGGTGACTACTCAATGCATAACCTATGGGATATTTATGGATGATATTCCAACTATACTAAACTATTTCATTTACTATAACATTATTTAAGTATACTCAGCTGTTCCTTTTTTTTTTTCTTAAGTTTTTCCAGCAATTAAAACTTGTATAGTTAACCCAATGTAGCTCACACAAGAGCGCAATAATTGTGTTTCCATATCAATGAGATACATATCAGTGGTCTTGTTCTAACAGATATTCTTTCCTTTTTATAAAATAATTGCACAAACTTGACCCACGTTTGAAACCTTGAATATCCAGCTGTTTAGCTATTAAATTAGCATATAGATGAATTTTAATTGTAGGTATTGAGAGTCTTTTTTCTCATTATTCTTCAATCCAGTTTTCTAAGTCATTTTCCAATCGCAAAAACTATTCCAGACCTTCTTATATGATTTTGTTGGGGCAACTCTAATATTATCTCTTTATTTGCTAACCATCTACGTATACATTTTTCATTTACTTCTGAATTGCAGGCAGCAGCTCTATTTCCGATTTGCTCTGCAAGCAGAGAAACACGTAAAAGTATTAACAAAACAAATAAGTTGGTTTAAATGTATTCAAATATTTTTATGAGGCTCTAGAAAGCTTTTTTGAACAATCTCTGAGAGTGATCTACAACCTAATATTGCAGTCAGAATGCACTGGGCTGTCAATGATTTTTTATCAGAGTGGAAAGTTAAACTGGAAAAAAAAGTTATTTTAGAAAAGCTAAGCATTTTAAACAAGCCTCTTCTCATCTTCTGAAGTTAACTAATTTTTATGATATAAAATTAAATGCAAACTCAAACAAAAAAGCATAATTGTTTATTTATTTGAAATAGTTCTATCATTCATAATTGGTTAATTTGCTTTTATGCCTCAATATATCAGTAAGTAGGGATTATTTTTATTTCTGCTAAATTGTATTCATCAATCCGGCTTTCATGAGCCAACAAAAGTGTCATTTCCGCACTAAGAAAATGACACTAACTAAAATTAAAATCCTTTGCGAAAAATCGTGTACCTTCGATAACATTTTGAAATCAATGGAGGTAACCCTTAAAAACGACCAACCTCCATTTACAACCATTTCACTGTGGAGCAGAGAGTGGTCGCTCCCTGAGAGGTTTCACTGTATTAAATTTAATGAAATACTTTAATATCTGTGTGAAAGAAAGTAAAATATAGACATTCCTGGTTTAAATGTTCTCAAAAGTTTTTCCCTATGAATATCAGTTCAGTTTTCTTGCTTAAAATCAGAATGATTATAATTTCTCTCTAAATTAAAATCGTAAAGGGCAAACGCTGCTTTGAGTGCCTCAACCCCTGGTTATTTTTTGTTTTGCTGAGGAAAAACTACACGACTTAGAAACTTGAAATCACTGAGATGTTTAGAAATACTTTCAATGAAATAAAAAGAATTTAACAATAGGGAGTTCATGAATTATTAACTGCTAAACTATTTGGAAATAATACCATTCGGGTTGCTCTATAGGCTATAGGAATGCAACCATAGTGTTGGAGTTCAAAGGACCCCATTTGTTTATGAACTTAACACAGAGTTTTTCTTTCAGAATTCTAATTTCTTCAAAACTTATTGCGATTTTAAATAATTTTTTTTATTTTTGGTAATTTTTTTTCTACTTTATGTTACGTTTTGCTTTGCTGTTTAAATTTATGAGACTTAGAAACTTGAAGTCGCAAAGGTGTGTAGAAAAAAGTATAGAGGGTACGACAGAATAAAAAAAATTACAAATTCGACAATTAATAACTGTTAAGCTTGTAGTAAAAAAAAAAAAGCATGTTGGTCAATCTGCTGTCCACTAAAACTAAAAAGCAACTATAGAATTGAAATTTGATGTGCTGGTAGGATTGTTTCATATTATAATTTTGGAGGGAAACAGTTATTATATATTATCATTTTTTTTTAAAAAATAAAATGTTTTATGATATTTTCTTTTCAGCAGATGGTAGTGTCACTGAAACTTCCTATGTTGCCCCAGATGAAAATTCTATTTATTAGTATGCAACCTGTCTAAATCATTCTACTGAAAAGGATTCTACTGATTTTTAATTTATGCCATTTATTTCATGACTTGGTGATTTTTTCACATCAATCCCTGTGGCAGAATTTTTTCGAACTATCTGCGACACAACTCTCTAGCACTAATATTTTTCTGCATGGTACTTTTAATTCGTACCTGGTTCACCTCATTGGGAGGCGAACACTCTATCCCCTGAGCCATCACGACTCCGGATTAGGTTGTTATAATAAATAATATCGTTTCAAGATTAGGTTGATTTAATAAATAATATCGTATAAAAAAAATGGAGAAATCAATACCAATAACTGCCAAAAATTCCGTAGAATTATTACCTTAAAAAGTAAATTCTCAAATGCATGATTCGAATTTCCCATATCGTTTGAAATATATTGTGATATTTTAAAACCACATGAAAATCAATATTAATAGCTGCTGAAAATACAATGGAAACAAATTACGTCGATTTACAATACAATCAGCATAAATTGAGCGCTTCAAAAAGTGATTATCTAAATGCATAATCAAAGCATTATGTCTAAATTTCAGTGGAAAAGAAAAGTAAATTTTTTTACTTTTCAAAACAAAAATCTTTCAGCATGAACTCTGTAAGGTTCTGCGATAAAGTCGCCTTGTCGCTGCGATTCTGCCATGGGGACATCAATTCATAACTCTTGTGATTTATTTTTAATCCTGTGATACTTGTTATAATTTTTATTATTTTTTTATATATTATTTTTTATATTTGTAGATAATTCACAGAATAAATATATGTACATCTATCTTATTGTAACGTCTGCGGGGTAAAAATTTTTATTCCTTTGCACAAAACGAAACATACTGTGAAAATACGATCAATTTTATCTTCTATGTCAGCTGTTAAATCTTCACCCATCAAATTTGTGTTATCGCAAATAGTCTTGAAAAATAGAATTCGTAAATCAATATATTTTCATTAACAGCAAACCTAATAATTCAATTAAAAAATATTTAATGCATATTTATAGATTTAATTTCATAATTGCTATGTAGTCAAACAATTTGTACAGTATCTTAATCACAGAAGTACAAATAACAGGGAGAATAATAAGAGTATGTTCTGCACCCCTGTGTGAAAAAATTCCTTTAAAAATAAAATTTAAAAAAATAATAATAATTCTTTTCCAGATATTAAATTAAATACTTGCTTAACTCTCAGTAGTCTACTGTAAAACATATAAACGTATTTGATAAACACATTTTTAGCAGTATTTAAGTAGCATAAAGTTTAGGGATCTATGTTAATATCTGTTATAAAATGAAACTTATAAATAGATTCATAACTATATTCATGCACTGCAAACAGGGGGTTCTTAAAATAAAAATTATCAAAAGATTTAAGCCATGTGTAAATAAAGTATTTTTATATTTGTTCATGATTTTATTTTTACATTTCTTGACGAATTTTCTTAAATTTGTATTATCTTATATATATAGCATGTGTTTTCCTCTCTTGGTTCTTAATTGATATAAGAGTCTGTTTAATTGCACTTGAAGCAGTGACTGTTTCTTTGTTGATAGTTATGTTGTAAATTGAGTTCAAAATTACATACAAATGCGGACCTCATTATTGCTTAATGAGTAAAATAAAACATTCACACAGCAATCCATTGTGGGCCATAGGGATCGTAGAGGTTAAGGCTTGACAATTTTGCGACCAATGGCATGATTGTGGCAATATGGTCAGCATCCCACACAAGCCACCTTTACTTCCAAGAAAAGCTGATACTCATCTATAGGGTGGCTACTAAATATTGTAACACTCCAAAAAAATTGTAATTACAATTGCTGTCTCAGTATTCCTGCGATTGGCACTTTCTATAAGTGCAGATGATTTTTGCTTAACCCATTTTCAGTCAAAGGTGCGTAAACACACCCTTTTAATAAATCATTTTTATTAACGCTGTAGCGAATGTTTTTCAATATTTTTATTTTCGGCTGTTTTTAAGGGTTTTGAAGACGTCTATAAAATATTAGTAATTCAATTGGAGTAAATACTTTCTGTTGAGAAATTTTCAAAGCACTCTAGTTTTTTTTTATTTTTAACTTCAAACGGTTATTGAAAAAGTCAATTTTTTTGAAACTGTATAATTATTCCACTTGAGATTTATTATGCGTTTTTATAATGAGTTAAAGTTGTGAGTTCTGAAAATAAAATTTAAAAAATATATATATACAGTAGGGAACCGAT